AATTAAATTCCAGTCAATATGAATTCAAAAAAAATAATTCCACTGAATACGCCATACTTCATGTAACTAGTAATATTGCAGATTCTTTTGAGAAATCACAATTTACTCTTGGAGTTCTTATTGACCTATCAAAAGCCTTTGCTACGATAGATTAGGAGTTTCTTATAAAAAAACTAAAAAACTATGGAATCAGCGGAAATTTATTCAATTTGCTAAAAAGCTATCTAAGCAATCGTAAACAGTTTGTGCAAATTGACGTATCCTCCTCAACAAGTTTACTAGATATAGCATGTGGTGTTCCCCAAGGTTCTATACTAGGGACACTACTTTTTCTTATTTATGTTAATGATCTGCACAATGCCTTAAATTTAAAGACAGTAATGTTTGCTGATGATACAAATCTTTTTCTCTCCGGCAAAAATATCATTACATTATATAATGAAATCAACATAGAACTAATTAAAGTTTCAAATTGGTTAAAGTCAAACAAACTATCAATTAACTTGGAAAAAACTAAATGGACTTTATTTCAAAAATCCCAAAAAAACTTTTACCAAATGATATGCCTCCAATATAAATTGACAATGTTCAAATAAAAAAATCAAAAGTTATACATTTCCTTGGTGTTTTGATTGATGAAAAATATAACTTGGAAAAACCATATTGAAATTTTGCGCGATAAAGTTTCAAAAAACATTGAATTAATGTATAAAGCGAGAAATTTTGTAAATAGACATTCATTAATTTAACTTTATCACTCGCTAATTCAATGCCATATAAACTATGTCAATATCGCATGGGGTAGTGTTAAAAAAAATTCAATTAGATCCTCTATATCGGCAACAGAATATATATATATATACAATATTAAACAAAATAAAAATTATGCGATAACTTTTTTTTGCGATTTAGAATGCTTTAACTGTTAAAATCAAAATAAATATGCTTGTTTAAAACAAGTGTATACCCAGAGGCGGGTTTTGTCACGCGCCAAGGAGGGGGGTGAAAGGTTTTAAAAAAAAAAAATTAGGTTCCTATGTTTTTATTTATAAGTAGCTTTCCTTTTTAAAAATCAAGTATACGTATAATACGTATAATTTCGAAATCAATTTCATTCGTCAGTATAATAGTCCAATTCTGTATAATAGTCAATTTACAAAAAAATATTTCTGAAAAAACGTCCCACGGAGGGGGGGGGGGCTACTACTTACTTCCTCCCCCTCCCCTAAAACCCGCCACTGTGTATATCTGCGCGCTAAATACATTGTATAAAAAGTTAAAGAAAAGTTGTGAAAAAATACGTATTTAGGAATTAAATATAAATAGTTCAAACTATTGCTTGAGTGTTTAAAACAATTTTGGGGTTTTTTCAGAGTGCTTGCATTTGTCAAACATTTTCCTAATAAAATGTGTAACAATAACGTATAATAACATAATAACAAGTAATGATTCGGATAATTTTTACTCGTATTATATTCGATTTATACAAATGGTTTTTAAATTAAAAAAAAGATAATTTAGCAGAAAAATTAGCAAATTAATGATTAGGGAGGAGCGATTTCCATAGCAAAAAAAAAAAAAAAGGATGAAAATAAATGAATGGTATGGTATTTTACAAATTATAACACTCAAATGAAATTTTTTTTTTAAGTTTAGATGAATTCTTGTTTATTGTACTTTTTTTTCTTGAGAAAAAACGAATAAATATCTAAAAATATTGCTTTATTGAAAACTTTTTTTTCTTGAGAAAAAAAAGTTTTCAATAAAGCTTTTTTTTTAAAACTTTTATTTATAAATAAAACTTTTTTTTCTTGAGAAAAACAAGTTTTCAATAAAGCAATATTTTTCGATATTTATTCGTTAATTTTTTAAGGCAAATCAATTTAAAAGATATATATATTTTTTTGAAACTAGCATTTTATTTCGCTTTTTTTAAATCTCATTTATATTAGGAAAAAAACTCATTTATTTTAGGATCCGTTAAAAGCTTTGGGCACTAGTCACTTGGTTCAAATTGGGTCAAAGACGTTAGGTACTTCAAGTATTCATCTAGAATAAAAAAGTATCATTTTTTTTTTACAACAATTCAAGACTACAATTCGCAATCAGAAAAATTTAATTTCAAAATTTTTTCAAATCGCAAAACAATAATGCAAAACAGCGAATTTTTTGTCTTTGACAATCCAACTCATTGTTTTTAATTATCTGTATCATTATTTACTTATCTGTATAGCCATTAGCTGTTATAATCAAACTTATGTAGAGTTTGATAATGAAGTATAGTTATGATAATTGTATGATAGTCATGTATTTAATGATATTAACTACGAGAATTAAGTTAAGGAATTGTAATAAACAATATTTATTGCAATTCTTAACATTAATTGAAAATTTAAAAATAAATTTTAACTTTTTTAATAAAAATAAATGAAAACATTCATATAATATTTTACATTTAAATTTAATAAATATCTAATAAAAACCATGGACAATTTTATATAAAGAAAACGTTTTAAAAATTAAAATTGAAAAGGAAATTATTCTCTTAAATTTATAAATTTGTTGAACAAATGTGAGTTTCTTTAGAAAGAGATAAGTTATCTTTTAAGTTTGATTGTATAAATAAAATATCTTCGCTTAAAGTATTTTGAGCCCAAAATGGAAACGTATTTTCTTCGACTCGAGAAAATGTAAATATTGCAGAATTGCTACGCTTTCTCAGTTTTGGGGTGACTTCACCTATTTGAAAATCGCGTTTATTCATAAGAGGAGTTAATTCTCGAGTTATTATTTTCCTTGGTAAACTTGCAGACAGACTTCTTTGCGCAACAATTTTAGTTGTATAACTTGATGCTGTAAAAGAGGAAACTCGATGGAAATTTGTCATTACATTATCGTTGGCCTCATTCACAGAGTTAGAATGAATAAATGTTTTGTGTTTTGAATGATAGCTGCTGTCTCTTAAGCTGGACAGTTGCACAGATTTGCTGCGACCTTGAAGGCGTCTTTTTTGGAATTCTTGACGTTTACTCAATGCATCGTGCTTATCGTCATTTCTTAAAGTTAATCTGTAAGTGCTTGTTCGCCTAAAAAGACTTTCATGTTTGGTTTCCGAAGTTTTTTCGGGTACAGGAAGACTCCTCTTTCGATAGAACTCATTTTTGTCTGTAGATATTTCGCTTGATTCTGAAACAATTGAAGGAAGAGAAGAAGATTTTTTTAAATCTCGATCGTGTCGTTTTGATATTGTTGTCAACCGATGCTGCAAATCTCTGAATGCATTTGTAATTTTTAAAAAAGAAGATCTTCTTTTTTTAATTAACAGGTTATCACATTGACTGATACTATCAGATACCAAATTATTCGAAAACTGGTAAGGATAATATGAGCACTCATTTGGTTCTGTCTGCGAATTTGGTTGTGCGAACTTGGTCATTATTTAACTTGACTTCACTAATCTAGGACAAAAAAATTCTTTTAGTTTCATAACATTTATTAATCACGTGAATTTTTATTACTATTATTGCCATCATTATAACTATTGTTATTACAGCTATTATTATTGTTATTAGTTAGACTATATTCAGTATAAGCATTTCTTATTCATATATTTTATGTAACGTGCACTTTTTAAAACAGTTTCAGTTTTTATAGTCCAAATCGTCATCTGTCATCAAACATCACCAACTGTCTTAAGGGTGTATTAAAAATAAAATTTTTTTTAAAAGTAAAATTATTTTAAAACAGTATAATTAAATAAAAAACTTCTTTTACGAGTTAAAACTCTTTATTTATAAATGGTTTTATGAAATATTTCAAGAGTGTATAGATACCCTCGCTATCAAGTGAAATATGTAATATTGATATATGTGATACTATATGTTATACAGGATAACAAAGGTTGTCTATACTCCCATGTAAAATTGTGTAAAACCATTAAAAGATATTTTTTATTAAGTTTTAAATAAACTCTTTTAGTCTGAATAATTATTAATCCTAACCTTGACCACTAAGCATGCTAGTAAAGTAACACCTTAAACCGTTAAACCCTAAAGGCCAAATAGTTGTGATGTTTCTTAAAAGAAATTTAATATTATATAAATATTGAAATTGAATAACTAATTAAGAACAAAAAAAAGAAGTAAACTGGAAAAACGGCAAAAATTTAAACTACTTTCGTAAAAAAGTATTCCAGTTTTTATACACATAACACTTTATTTACTTATCTATTTTACTGACCATTTACTCAGAACTGGTCAGTAAAATAGATTAGTAATTTGTTTAATTGACAAATTCTAATAATTTATATTTTTTGTTCATTTTCCTAAAATTTAAAAGTAGAAAAAGAACTCCCATAAGTAATTTCTCTCTCTCTCTCTCTCTCTCCTTCTTCCTAGTTGTTTTTTATTTAATTATTTCTTGATGCGGGATGCTTTAATATTGCAAACAATGTGTTGCGTTCAAGGTTTACAAACGGTCACAAAACTTAATTGGCATGCAGCGTTTAAACTTACGTGTCAGTTTTGAAGACTTGTATACATTAGAAAAATGTCAAAAATATCAATTTATGATTAACGTTCTCAAAGCTCTGCTGAAATCAAACCAAAGTAATTTTTCTCACAGATTTTACCCATTAACGATTACGATTAAATTTATGTAAGAAAAAAAAAGTAAAAATTACTTTTGTCTTTTATTTTTAAGATAGTTAAAAATAAAAGACAAAAGTAAAGACCCGCAGTATGTGGCAGATTTACAACAGTAATGTTTCAAAAAAAGTTTAATCTTTTTTGCTATTAAATAAAAATGTTTATAATTAAAGCTTTAACTAAAAAGTAAATGAGACAAATTCTCACAATTAAAATTTGAAAAGATCAAAACCGAGATCTATATTTTCTTCTTTTTCTATTTTTGTCTCCATTTATTGTGTAAATGCTGAGCCACTATGATGAACTACAAACCTAATTATTATGTACATATACTTTACAATTAGGATAAATATGTTTAATTATTTACAGAAAAATGTATAATGCTATAAAAATAGTGTACAAATAGGACGTAATTATGTGTTTTAAATACATTTATCACGAATAACATGCTCAATTAAAATCAAATAATAACAATGTGTAAAGATCTCTAAATAAATCAAGCGCGTCATTGTTATTGCAAAAATGTTTTGTTTTGTATATAAAGGAGATAATTTAAGTATAAAGGAGATGTATAAAAAAAGAGATTATATTAGACGATGTTAAAGATATTTCATATTACTTCATCTTTGATAAAATTTGCATGAATTTGCAGCTCTTATAAACAGATTGTATTAAATTTTAGATTTTAACGTGTACTACTTAAAACCCTAAGTTAAATAGAAACATCCTTTTCGGATTTATATATATATATATATATATATATATATATATATATATATATATATATATATATATATATATATATATATATATATATATATATATATATATATACATATATATATATATATATATATATATATATATATATACATATATATATATATATATACATATATATATATATATATATATATATATATATATATATATATATATATATACATATATATATATATATATATATATATATATATATATATATATATATATATATATATATATATATATATATATATATATATATATATATATATACAATTTATAATATATATATACAATTTATAATATATATATACAATTTATAATATATATATATACAATTTATAATATATATATACAATTTATAATATATATATATACAATTTATAATATATATATACAATTTATAATATATGTATATACAATTTATAATATATGTATATACAATTTATAATATATATAATATATACAATTTATAATATATATATACAATTTATAATATATATATACAATTTATAATATATATATACAATTTATAATATATATATAAAATATAAAAAATATGTTTAAGTTTCATGAAATATATAGACTGCACGAAAAGTAACGTTTTGTTATCCAATTTAAATAACTCTAATTATGCAAATTTAAAACTATGCACATTCAAAACAAAAGAATTTCTCATAATAACTCACCGTGTTCGTAATTAAGAAAAACTAGTTTTTTAAGAAAAAGCAAAAATAAAAATAATTAATTACAGTTAAAGTTTTATCAAACATAAACTAAATGATGACGACATGTTTCCGTGAGGAAAATAAACCTTTATTTTATATATGAACTTTATAAATACCACTATATTTATTAAGTTCATATACAAAAAAAAAAGTTTTTTTTTTTATTATTTGTATTATTGTCGTAGTCGTCATAGTTGCAGTTACGAACTCAATAACTCAAGACTAAACACGCAAAGCAGGTACTAAATAATGATAAATAACCATAACATGTTTACGCACTTGAGTTCTTATTAAATTAAAAAAAAAAATTAAAAATTTTTATTTTATTTAATTTGTATTTTATATTAAAGCAAAGATTTTAGTGGTCTAACACCTGTACAATTTCCTGGACTTCCTTATTACTGTCATCCATAATAAATAACCATAAAAAATAAATTGACCACAAACAACAATTTCTCTGTTAAAAATAAACTGTCCAATCAACAAAATTTTTTTTTCCATAAATATAATTAAAAAAAAAACTTCAAGCTTAATTCGCAAAATTTTTAAACACAATGACTCCAGCATGGAATTCGTTTTACTTTATGCTTTTTTTTTGACTTTTAAATTTTACAATAGCAAGTGAAAAGATAGTAATTTAATCTAATTGAATTGATGCTTAATATCTTTCTAAGTCGAATTAAATATGTTAACGGAGATTACGTTTAAGATGAGAAGACTTGTAACGAGATTTTTTAAATATCGATAACAATCACTGTTTTACTAGATGTAAAGAAAAACAAAGTTAACCTGGTTTAGATAAACCAGTGTAAAAAGTGATCTGGTTTAAAAACAACTATTTATAAAAGATAACCTGAAATACCTTGAAAGCATTAAACATTTATGAGTTTTTATAAGTAACGTGAAATACAATGTAAACAGGTAACGTGTTACCATGAAAACAGGTATCATGACCATGTATATGTATAAAGTTAATGTATAAAACACAAAATAAAAATACTGTTTCAAATTTTTAGTTAATTTTTCATATATATAAGTATATATCTATATTATTATCATTCTCTACGTTCATAGACGTTTAATCCCCTGGACACCAGTTTGAAATGAATGTGGACGGCTACAACCTCGCAACTCTTTTCACACACACATAAATTATTCTTTTTATTGTTTCTTATATATTTATATTATTATCATTACAAGACTATCTTCTGAGACGTTTAATGCCCGTGGATTTCAGTTTAAAATAAAACTTTAAAATCAAGGAGGCGCTAACACCTCGCAACTCTTTTCTTACACCTATACACAAACACACACGCATACAACCCAATCCAAAACATCATTATACCCAAACAGTATTGCTCATATGTATATATATATATATATATATATATATATATATATATATATATATATATATATATATATATATATATATATATATATATATATGTATAAATATATATATATATATATATATATATATATATATATATATATATATATATATATATATATATATATATATATATATATATATATATATATATATATATATATATATATATATATATATAATAATTTCTGTTAGGAACAATTAGAATTCTTTTGTTTTTTTATAACTTTGTATACTTTTCCAAACTTGGAACATAGTTGTTTTTTTTGTTTCAACCCGTTTTTTTTAAATTCTTTATAAGTTTGTTCTATTGATTTTCGTTTATTTCTTTTTTTTTGTTTAGTTTAGTGTCAATTAAAAATAATGGTTGTTTTTAAGGTGTTTTTCATTAAGCTTTAAAGAATTTTTTGAGAGATTAATTTTTCTAGATTAATTTTTTAATAGAGAGAGATTAAAAGTGACGTCAAAAAAATAACTTTAACAACTGGTTTCAGTGTGAAAGTTTAATGGTTTAAACATTTAAAAACCATTAACACTTTTATGAATACTTTTTAATATAAATATTTAAACATAAAAGCCAGTAAATCTCGATTTTCTTTTCTACTCAGATAAATCTCTATTTGCGATAGGACAAGATCTTTGACTCCAAATAGGAACTGGATCTTTTATGTGGGTCTAAGATTCAGATCGCATTGGATTATAAAATGATACAGATCCATGACTTGGATTTTAATATTTTATGTAAAAGATCTAGAGAATGTATCCAGATCTGTTGATTTTAGTGAGTGACTTTGGATCTTTATCTAATTTGTAACTACATTTAAGTACTGCATATAGAATTAATTAAAAGCATTAATACTATGCCAATACAGTGTATTGTAAAAATATTATGTGAATACAATATGAATATTAAGTGAATTCTGTATGAATATTATATAAATACTGTGTGAATACTATGTGAATGTTATGTGAATACTATATGAATACTATGTGAATACTATGTGAATACTATGTGAATACTGTGTAAATATTGTGTGAATATTATGTAAATACTGTGTGAATACTATGTGAATACTATGTAAATATTATGTGAATACTATATGAATTTTCTGAGAATACTATGTGAATATTGTGTGAATACTGTGTGAATACATCGTACGGAAAAAAGTAGCATTAGATCTAGTAGTTACATTTAAAATTCGTTGTGCTTCTTTATTACTTCGTAATAATTATAACTTTTTATCAATTATTATTGTTTGAAGTCAAAGGCGATATAAAGGAAGATGTGGGAGGTCATAAGCCATCAAAAACAAAACAAAAAAGCAATTCTAAACTTTTAGTCGGTTTTTAAGGAATATAGCCGGCTAGTCCGGCATTCAACACATTTTAGTCAGCGAATTTTTAGTTTTGAGAACCTTTTCTTTTTTTTTAATTTTTTGAAAAGCAGTTGGCAGTTTTTAAAGATTTTCACCCCCTCTTATTTTATTTCTAGAACCACCCCCTTTTGTATTTATTGTTAATTATTACTAAAGGTCAGGAAAAATTGCATTGAATTAAAAAATTGAATACAAAAAAACACCTCCTCCCGCAAAGCAAACCAGCCGCAGGGTAATTGATTAGACCGGATAATGTAATAGTATATAAATGGTTTTCTTAAATTTTTTGTAGCAAAAAAATTTTTATTGTTAAGGACGCTCCAAATAGACCTTGACTGAATCTTCCTTAAACAAAAGTGTTTCTGTTTAAAGATCGCCTTATAGTTTTCTGGTAAATGGAATATTTTTTCAATTAGAAAAAAGTTTTACGTTCTTTTTTATTGACAACAAAGACAACACGCGAGGCGATGAATAAAAGATGCCTTAACACCTATGTCAACTAGATATTCGCAAATATAGTCTCTAACAAAGATCTTCGCATCTGGAATCAGTTGCGTTTGATGTTGCTAATGCCAATGACATCAACATCTTTAAAAGTAAAATTTACTCACACATTTTGGTATTTTTAAAAGTTATATTTTCGTTACTGCAAAAACTTATTATTTTTTTATAAAAAATTTTTATTTGCATTTATGTCAACGCTGGACGTTATTACATAATTTAATTTGGCGCACGTTGTTAGTGTGTAACAACATGGACCTGCGAACCTTTTAGAGCATGTATCTTTTGTTAAATAAAAAATAAAAACAATCTATTCTATTATCACTTTATTTAATTAAAAAAATAAATTTGGTAAATTTTGTTCTTTTATTTGTAAATGTTATTTTTTTCTTTCAATTTTTTCATTGTGAGTTTAATAAAACTTACATGGAAAAACGTATTTTATAAATTTTAAAATTAACTCTATATAAAGTAACACTAAATAAACACGTATCGTAAAAAAAAGTATATAAAAAAGTTACAACTGAAGTTTAGTATTCATTAGCAATAACAGAAATATATCCAACCGGCATTTGATCCTAAATAGACGTCTTTTAAACGTTTAAAATAAGTCCTTTTATGTCCAAATACCGGCTGGGCAGGTATTTATTTTACGCGCAAAGACAACAAAATATGTATACTTATGTTATTATATTTATGTAATACAGTTTCGTTTGCACCAATTGTTTTTTTTTAGCTTTTATATAAAAAGCCTTCTTGCCCCATTCGCCAACTGACCCCGTTTTTTTCTATATGTATGCAATATAAAATTTTTTTAAATTAAAAAAAAACCAACTCAGAACGCTTTATATAAGCAAATTATGATAGATAACTAATGTTATTTATATTTCGAACAAATCTTCAAGAAAACTTTTTGAAACATTTGAAGAAGTATCACATAACTATAAACAGTACTTTGAGAATTTATGAAATCTCAGTTCTTGAGCACCTTTTTTTTCTTGATTAACGACATACCAAATAATTTGACATAAAACACAAAATAATATGCTAATCATAGCAAAATTATTGAGTTATCAGCTATCTCATGTGATGTTAATTTTTTCAAACAAATATTAACTACAAACCACACCATTTAAAAGTTGATAACCGTTATATTACCCATAATGGCCGATATGTTACTTAAATTACGTATTAATATGAAATCATAGAAATATTTGTAAAAAATGCTGGATTTTTAGCAATAAAGGCGCTAAAACAACTTTTATGTTGACTTTGTATATAAATATTTATCATATTTTTGGTTACTGAGGCTCATACTTTATACATATATTTTATTATATATGTATATATATATATACATATATATATATATATATATATATATATATATATATATATATATATATATATATATATATATATATATATATATATATAGACATATATATATATATATATATATATATATATATATATATATATATATATATATATATATATATATATATATATATATATATATATATATATATAATATTTTATATACATATATATAATATTTTTAGAGAAATGCACGTTTATAATAGTTAACTAGAACATATTCTAAATTTAATAAAATTTCCTTAAATATATTGGATAAATACTTGTTATCTTAAAGTAATTACCGTTGTTTAATGTATAATTTATATAAAAAAACCTAACGGTATTTGCTGTTATGCAAATTAGAGGAAAATGGGGTAAAACTGAACAGCAGGGAAAAATTAACACTCATGAAAATGTTATTAATTTTGATTAAATTCAGTTTTAAACAATATTTAAAAATTATTTTAGTTCTATATTTTGAAAAATTTTGTGCTCTATCTAATGACGTAACAATAATAAAAAAAATTCAATTAATAATTTTTATAGCAAACTCAAACGTTTGAGCATGAACATTTTTTAAAATTTTATTATGACGTAAAAATCGAAAAGATAAAAATCTTAACACACTCAAGCAACACAACATCATTTGCAACATATTAAAACACTTATTTTTCCAGTTTCATCAGCAACACTTGCATTGAACCAAACATTAATTGGAAATATCTTTAAAGCGCAATTTCGAGTCCAAATCGTCAGAAACAAAAAAATGTTGACATAAAAAGAGTGGAATGTAAATTAGGGTGGATCGATTTTCATAGCAAAAAAAAAAAAGTTTAAAAATCAATATTCCTGAGACACGAATCGATGTCTATTAATTATAAGATAAAAGTAAAAAAGTATTTTTTGAT